CAAACCCTAATTTGGGGTGGAAGGGGGCTGACACGTGTCAGATTATTATTGGCCAGATAAAAAGAAAAGCAACGTGGAAAAGAGTGAAGAGGCAAGCTGGCATAAGACATGGTCTTGCCGTTTGCCACATCTACTAAAAGTTAACGCCGTCCAATTTGAAGGACTAATAGTAAGAGTTTCAAAACTATGAGGACTAAAAACCATCAAAGTTTCGAGTAGGGCTAAACCCAAAATCGTGTGATACTTAAGGGACGAAAAACATATTTAACCCTTATTTTTTCATAATATATTTCACACTCATCCATCAAATATTGTCAGAATCCTCTTCTGTAATTTCCGTTATGTTTTTCTTTGCTTGTCTGTTACGCTATATATATATAAATCATAATAATCATTTGCTCCTGCGAAGTCGTTTCTTCTGGAACTCGCAAAGTAAATCTGTATAACTTTTGATAAATAGTGCAATAGCAGCGTTTTTTGTGTGCTGGGTTCCCCATAAATAAATAATTGTTTTGTTTTAATGGGTCTTGTAAAGCACAGTTGACACGCAATCCAATCTATGACTAAATATTTCTCCCTTAGTTCTTCTACATCGTACTCCTTGGGGTTTCCTTTTTCTTTTAAATAATCAATAATTCTATTGAAGATATTGGTCTCTATCTCCTTTACAATCTTTAAGTCCTCAAAGGCTTCCTTCATCCTAGGGAAATGCTGTAATACTTTGTTAGCTAGTATATCGTCTCTGTAGATGCTGTACCAGTCCTCTATTTGTTCTAGTTTTTTGAGTATAGCTAAATTTCCTATTTCTAAGTTTACCTCCTTTTTATTTTTATGTGCTTTTGCTACCATTTGTATTTGGTTTATATTGATTCTCCCCAAACTAAGGGTTCCTTATCCTCTTTTAATATATATGCACATATAGATCCCCAACCTTTGTGTAAGCTTATATTTATAGCTCTTCCTGTCCACTCCGGGAATTCTTTTCTTAGTTTTCCTCTCAGCGTGTTTTTCGAGGCATTAATAGCCCAAATTCCTACGTGATAGTGATCTCCCTCCTCCTGATGTCTCTCAGTTGCTACAATGGCTCTGCATCTAAAGAGTTCTTTAATTCTTCTGATGATGCCTTCTCTTCGTACGAGCAATCTTATTTCGGTTTCGGTATGAATTAAAGTTAGTAAAATAAATTCTCTTATGGTGGACCTCGCCTGGTTTTCTTTCTCTACCCTTAGAACATTTTCTATCTGAATTGGTCGCTTCATGTTGTTTTTTTTAATCTTTTTTGTCGCCCGTTCATTGGACCTTGTGACCCTTTCTTTGAACCTTGTTGCCCTTAGGTACCCCAATAAATACACCCGGCTCCCCCTAGGTAAAAGAGCTCATTTAATCAAGTGAGTGAAGTGTTCCTCAGGGAGGGACACAAAGGAGCGATCAATAGCGAAGCGTCAACGATAACGCCCACTCCTTCGAGGTCCTGAGGAAAGAGTTCCTTCCTTACCAAGCAAGTGAGTGTTCCCCGGGTGGGGAGAACGAACGATAGATATATATAGGTTCCGCCAACCCCCCTAACTCTAGTATAGGGGTTTGGCGGCGAATCGTCTTCTTCTTCCCTAATTCTTCCTTTATTTGGGGGAAATTTACCTATCGGCGTATCGTCTGTTCCCGTCGGCGAATCGTCTTCCCTTCGGTAAATCGTCTTCCCTTCGGCGAATCGTCTTCCCGTCAACTTTTCCTACACACACTAGCATTCAATATTCCACATTTGTTTCTCAGCATTTCTTGCTATCGATACCACACATTTAATAGTCTCAATCTCTGTATTTCTTTCTGTCTTTTCTATTAGCGCCTTTAACTCTTCATACCTTTTTTTAATTTGTCTTTCCTCTTCCCCTTCCCTTCTTACATTCCTAAGTATGGCCGGGAATACTCTATTGGTTTCCCTCCCTGAGTTCTCATCTTTTTCAACTATTTTAATTTCCAGTGGCCACATCGCATAGTCTTCCCCCTCCCCCTGTTCCCTCCTGTCTCTTTGTACACTTATTACGCTCCATACTTCATCTTCTTTCACACCATGTAGATGCCCCATATGTACATGCTTCCTCTCTTCTTTTCTTATCCATTCTCTTTCTTTGTCATCAAAAAAGATGCTATTGAGTCGCACAATAGTCTCCTCCACCCTTCCCTCTTGTTGTTCTTCCTCTTCTTCCTCCCCCATCGCTTTTTTTTCTTCCCTTTTTTCAAATAGTTTTTGTAAGGTACCCTTACTCTTCTCATTTTCTTCATCCTTTTCTTTCTTTTTTATCGGGATGATAGCAAAGCTCAAGAGGTTAACTTCACTTTGATTCTCTTCCCATTGTTCTCCTTCTATTTTTAAAATTTCAAAGATTAGTATACTATATTCTTCCTTAATCTTTATGATTTTTGGGTTTAGCTTATAGAATTCTCCTTTTTTTGTAATTAGTATTGGTTGACTTTTCCTGATTTGGTCAATTGTTTTTCTATCTTTCATTTTAATTGGATTCCCTAAGTTTTTCATGCTTTCCTGCCATTCTTCCTTTTCTTCCATGGGTATTATGAGTGCACTGCTTTGATTATAGGCTAAGTTTATTTGTTTTGGTGCTTCTTCCTTTTCTGTAGCATATGCGCTTTTTTTGATTCTTCTTAGTAAGCATCCCCATAATGTGGCAATTACTCTTTCCTCCTCAAAATTTTGTATCTTTGTGGAGAACCTTACTCTAAAGAACCTTGCTCTAAAGGGTCCATGACTTTCCATTATTTTTGGTAGCTTATTTGCTATCATGATTATGGGAACGTTTTTCTTCTTTTTGAAAACCTTTGCATATTTTGAGTCTAGCCTGCACTCCTGCCCATCGAGTACTTTCAATAAGTTGTTTACAAAGGCGCTCCCTTGCATTGTGGATCCTATCAATTGGCTCAGATCACTGTGGTACTCGAGAAAAAGAGTCAGCCGCTTAGAGGAGAGGTTGCTAATGTCCCCACCTTCACCCGCTTTTAGAAGTGGATTCGAACCACTGGACTCTATTTTCTGAGGATACATTGATTCTGTTCAGCCGTTACCATTCTATATGCGCCTTTTCCGCCTTAAACCCCTTATCCCGGATAATAAATGTATGCAAACGCTGCAGGAATCGAAGTTGAGTGATTCAGTAAGATATAAGAGCAATTGAGACAGATAGGGAGCATGCCATTCAAGGGCTGGTTTTCCTATTTATTTGAAATCTTATCCCGTCGTCACCTTGTAAAAAGCTAATGCGACACCAAATTCTTATTTATATGAATAAATTCAGGACCAACCGGCACACAAAGGGAGGGGTGAACCCACCTTGTCTAAGACGCGAATGAACGAACATTTGAAAGAGATGGTGACAAACAAGGAAATCGGCGCATTTGGCTCTACCTCTCACGCCAAACCATCGTGGTTGGAACTTGTTTCAATGAAAAAAATGACCAGAATGACCAAAACATCTCGTTCTGAACAGGCCCAGAGGAAATACAATCATTGAAGTCTCCCCGGCAATCATCTTTGAAGTGACACAACAGACTATGACTAGACATCTCGAGGAATCCACGCTTCTCACATCTCGTAAACAACTATACATCTTGGAAGCAAAGGCCTGGAGCAAAGGTATTTACCCTTGGTCAATCCACAGTCAATCATCCAGCAACAGATTAAGTAGTCGAAAAAGCAGTAGACATTACATAACATTACATAAATTGAGAAGGTGCTTTCTCTTAACTCAGCATGGTCATACAATAAGAATAAGAAGTTGGCTATTCTCAGGTCTGGGCTGGGTATCCATATTAGGTTAGGGAGTCAACAAATCCCAGTCATAAAGGACAAGAATAAATCGGACCTTCCATTGTAGAATGCCCCAATCACACTGGAATCTTCGCTTGTCCGCCTACCAATGATAGCCTTTCAAACCTCATTCCAATATTGATAGTCAAGTGAAGGAGACCCACTTCTCCTTCCCCGCCCCATTTCTGGGACGGGCCTCGATGTCGCCTTTGGCTCGAGCTACTTTCCATTCTTCATTCCTTTCGGAAGAAAAATAGGAAAACGTTGATGACTCCGACTTGAAGCCCGAATCCTAGAATCCAATGGGAATAGGAGTGGGTTAATTGGGTCATCAGAACGCCTAATATCAATACATAAACAACTAGGAGGGTTTGGATGCCCTCTCTCTTATTCGCGAGAAGTACTTCGGCCAAGGGCTGCTTTATCCTTTGGGCTTTAAAAAGAAAGAAGGTCACGAATAGTCCATTGGATATAAGGAAAATACCACTTAAAAGAAAAAAGGTCATTATTGATTGAGCTAGCAAAGACCCTAGAATCAAATTGAAGATGAGATATAATAAAAAAGGGATGAGGAGTTCCATTCCAGTTGTCGAAAAGAGCGAAAAAAAGAGAAGAGAGCCTGCTGCTCCAATGAAGGTTAAATGTATAAGTATTTGATTTAGACCGTAGTCTAAATCAATAAGATTCAAAAAAGCGATACCAAAAAAAGGTATCAAATAGAAGAGTGGTTCTATTCTAGCTTTGTGATATATAGATTCGTTTGGAATAGAGAAGAATCTACCATATAGTCTAAGAAAGAGCAATTCGGTCACCAGACCGAATCCCCATTCACCCATTTGAGGATGAAAGAAGATTCGGGAGAGGAGCACCGCAAACAAAATGAAATCCAAGAAAACATCATACTTCAAAAACAAATAAACATGAAACGCGATTAATAGGAGGAGAAAAAGCCCGACAAGAAAGCAGCAAGGATTCGGTATGTGTAAAATATAGAAAATCAGAATGTTATTCAAAACAAAAGAAAGAAGAGAAAGGCTTCTTTCTTCTAAACTTTTTGCGAAAAAAAGAAAAAAGATGGCCGAAGAACCCCCCACCAGTATGAGAGGCGAGGCCACTTCGCCTGGAAACCATAGGGCATTCAAAATACCCGGAACGATATTTTAAATAAAGAGAAACATTGTACCTAGCATTTTAATGTCAGATTTACTTTCCCCGACCTTTTTTTTTGCCCTATCACTAGTGATTACTCCCGATCCGAAGCACCCCTTTTCCATTCATAGAGATTGGGGTTTTTCTGCACCATATTTGGATCTGCCTCTTCTTCGATCCGGAATTCCCAACAAATCCTTGACTCCTCGAATACAATGGGATTTCACACCTGGCAAATCTTTCACTCTACCTCCTCTTATTAACACCATAGAATGTTCCTGCGAATTATGACCTTCGCCCGGAATGTGAGCAAATATATCATGTCGATTGCTCAATCGTACTTTGGCTATCTTACGTGGAGCTGAATTTGGTTTTTTCGGTGTTCTCGTTGAAACACGCGGGCGTACTCCTTGCTTCTGGGGACATTGATCCGAAGCTCGAGTACGGTCCGTGCGCCGTTTTTCTTCTCTACCATGACGAATCAATTGATTTAATGTAGGCATCGCTCTTTCCTTTGTCCTTCCTATTTTTGCCCTATCACTAGTGATTACTCCCGATCCGAAGCACCCCTTTTCCATTCATAGAGAGATCCAATCGTCAAAATCAATAAAAAGGCCATCATAGACCAAGATCCAAACGGATCAATCTTGTTGGGAGGTACTGCCCAAGGAAAGGAAAAGGTTACTTCCGGATCAGGAATAATAAATAAAATGGAAACAAGATAAAATCGTATATCGAAACGACTTCTGGCATCACCGAAAGGATCGAAACCACATTCGTAGGCCGACAATTTTTCTGGATAGGTCGAACTATTGGAAGCAAAGGGAAAAGGAAGACCGAGTAAGATCAAAGAAACTAGCAGACTGATCACTAAATAGATACAAATAGGTGCAAATTCTGACATAACCACAAACCACTTGGTTCTTTCGCTCCTTGCTGGCGGAGCGGCATACCGAAAAAAAAGGAAAAAGCCCTTTATCGGTATCGGATTCGAACCGATGTTGCCTATTTATTAAGGGCGAACTGATCGACTTGCATGTGTTAAGCATCTTTCTCAAAGTAGCATGATTGGACCTTCCTCTTTCTCTTACTTAGATAGAGGAGAGAGCACGTAAGACTTTCTTTTCTACGATCTTTCTTCTCTTATTTGTTTTATTATGACTTGGCCGTGTGGAACATGGATTAGCATTATGTCATTCCTACTAGTGATCACCCATCCAGGATTTGAAGAAGAAGCGCCATATGAGGACTTCGAGATCAAATATAAGATGTTTCTTTCCATTCCTCGCGAGCCACTTATTTCTCCGAAACAAGAGAGAAAAGTGATTTTCCTCCTTTTTCCCAATAAGTCGACGGCGTTACACCATTGGGATACTTCGAATAAACTAGAGTACATATAGGATACACCGGTGCTCAAACCTTTTCTAAAGATATCTTCCAAACTCTTGGGGTCGTTGCTCCGGATTTTGTTCCCCCGGTTTGAAACCAGTTGGTTGCGTAGTTTTAGAATTCTGCTGATCCCAAGTACTCCATCTCCATCATTGCATATGGGAATATAAAAAGTAAAGAGGAAAAGGCATGACCAGAAGAATTGTGTGAAATAAGTGAATTTATCCAGTTGAGGCATGATTGATTGAGAAAGAATGATTCCCTCCGGACAGAAAGAGAGTCCCTTCATGTAGGAGTAGTGAGTGATATGTGGTTGGTTGTTGACCAAAAAAGACATGGGAAAAGGAAAGCACTCACTGAGTTACTTACGAATCAGAAAGATTGAGGCTGACTATGGCCTCAGATGATTAGGCGGGGCAGGAAACCTCTCCTAAACCATTGACGTCTAAAAAAAATACAAGTCGTTTTAAAAAATAGGATTGCCGTGCTTTTAGGACTCAAAGTAACGATCCTTCTCCCTCCTGTTGGGGAATTCTTATGAAGACAATCGCTCTTGCCTTCCCCGGTCCAACAGCGATAGTTATCTGTGTGTTTTTTTTTTGTGCTGTAATAAGAAAGATGTTGCTATTCTACGATGTGGCGTTCCAGAAAGACTAACTTAACACTTTATCATTCACACCGACCAGCTAGTGCGCTGTCACTTGGTATCGGATCTTTTCTAAATGAATCATTTGCCCCTACTACTTCTATCTACCTACGTCTTAATTTAAAAAAGCTATTTCCCACGGTCAAGCCTAGTAGAGCTCCTAGTCCGACAAGACTAGCAAACATGCTACCAGGCCTAGTTACCATAAGAAAGGAAGGGAAAGCGAACCACAGATACCATTTCACAAGAGCTGAAAGAAGAGTGAATTGAATTACCCCGGGGTGACTGAACTGCAGGGATTTCTATTTAAGAGCCGGGTGAGCTACCTTAACGGCACCCTGGTATTCCTTATTATTTTATTGATAGCACAGGTGATCCCTAATGGGCTCGCTTCACCGATCTCTATATAGAAGATCGCCTCTGGATCCCATCCCATTAGACTGATTTAGTGTGGTTAAGCTGTGTCTTTGAAAAGTCAGTTTATTTATTTCTCTCCTGTTTAGAAAGATAGCTGCCATCAAGACGAAGACAGAAGCAATAGCCTTCAGTCGGTGGGACAGGAGGAAGTCTGACTGTTCTCCTAACCGGTGCTAGTGAAAGCAAATGACATAGTTAAAGAAAAAGAAGAGAATGTCCTGAGAGAAGAAAGGAAGTCAGGGAATGAGCTGGTGCTATAGCCAGAATCGCTTGTTACAGAATAGGTTGCATCTAGTATACTACCAGTGGAGTCATAAGTTGTAGATCTTCAATGGCTGAATCCGTTTTCCAAATAGCAGCTGCTTGGGCTTACCTTATTACCTTATCTTTAGCTTGAGAGATGGGAATTGAATGAGACAAAAAAGAATAGGCCGCTAATTAGTTATGCCCTGGGGGAATGCCCCAAAGCCCCTATGACTACTCCTTTCGAACTTCTAGCAATAGCAAACTCGCCCCACTGGTCCAATTCTTGTGTTTAATGTGAAGCTTGGCTTAGGCAAAGCAAAGGGGAAACCAATCCAAGAAGAACAATCCGGATGAGTGGCGATTTGCGACCTTCTGCCTCCGCTGCTTCCACTTCAACTTCTCCTACACTGATTAGTCTAGTTTTGTTTGCCCCCGGAGAGTATCACCGTGAATTATTAGTCATATATATCAGCCAGAGAAGCCTGTGACTCATACACTATCAACCATAGTGTATACCAGAAAGAAACTTCGTCTAACACCAGATCTTGTTGAAGCTAAGCCAGGACCTGAAAGAGATCAGTAAACCAACGCTTCTCCCTCTCCAGACTCAAGCCATGATCCAGTTCCAGACAACATGCCTGAGGTAGGCCATTATTCCTCTCGTCCTGTTCCTTTGCTCANCATCCCGATAAAAAAGAAAGAAAAGGATGAAGAAAATGAGAAGAGTAAGGGTACCTTACAAAAACTATTTGAAAAAAGGGAAGAAAAAAAAGCGATGGGGGAGGAAGAAGAGGAAGAACAACAAGAGGGAAGGGCGGAGGAGACTATTGTGCGACTCAATAGCATCTTTTTTGATGACAAAGAAAGAGAATGGATAAGAAAAGAAGAGAGGAAGCATGTACATATGGGGCAACTACATGGTGTGAAAGAAGATGAAGTATGGAGCGTAATAAGTGTACAAAGAGACAGGAGGGAACAGGGGGAGGGGGAAGACTATGCGATGTGGCCACTGGAAATTAAAATAGTTGAAAAAGATGAGAACTCAGGGAGGGAAACCAATAGAGTATTCCCGGCCATACTTAGGAATGTAAGAAGGGAAGGGGAAGAGGAAAGACAAATTAAAAAAAGGTATGAAGAGTTAAAGGCGCTAATAGAAAAGACAGAAAGAAATACAGAGATTGAGACTATTAAATGTGTGGTATCGATAGCAAGAAATGCTGAGAAACAAATGTGGAATATTGAATGCTAGTGTGTGTAGGAAAAGTTGACGGGAAGACGATTCGCCGAAGGGAAGACGATTTACCGAAGGGAAGACGATTCGCCGACGGGAACAGACGATACGCCGATAGGTAAATTTCCCCCAAATAAAGGAAGAATTAGGGAAGAAGAAGACGATTCGCCGCCAAACCCCTATACTTATTGAAAGTACTCGATGGGCAGGAGTGCAGGCTAGACTCAAAATATGCAAAGGTTTTCAAAAAGAAGAAAAACGTTCCCATAATCATGATAGCAAATAAGCTACCAAAAATAATGGAAAGGCATGGACCCTTTAGAGCAAGGTTCTTTAGAGTAAGGTTCTCCACAAAGATACAAAATTTTGAGGAGGAAAGAGTAATTGCCACATTATGGGGATGCTTACTAAGAAGAATCAAAAAAAGCGCATATGCTACAGAAAAGGAAGAAGCACCAAAACAAATAAACTTAGCCTATAATCAAAGCAGTGCACTCATAATACCCATGGAAGAAAAGGAAGAATGGCAGGAAAGCATGAAAAACTTAGGGAATCCAATTAAAATGAAAGATAGAAAAACAATTGACCAAATCAGGAAAAGTCAACCAATACTAATTACAAAAAAAGGAGAATTCTATAAGCTAAACCCAAAAATCATAAAGATTAAGGAAGAATATAGTATACTAATCTTTGAAATTTTAAAAATAGAAGGAGAACAATGGGAAGAGAATCAAAGTGAAGTTAACCTCTTGAGCTTTGCTAACATCCCGATAAAAAAGAAAGAAAAGGATGAAGAAAATGAGAAGAGTAAGGGAAATTCATTTTTCACTCACATAATAACAATTTGTAGAAAGTTCTGAAAGGGTCTTTCTCCTTCCTCTATTGTGTAAGTTTACTTTTGTCACTTCTATAAGTTTACGTTTGTCGCTTTTGGTTTATCACGATGCACATAATCCCACACATGGATCACCTACTACATAGACATGATCTATCAAGAGTCTCCTTTGTCGCTCTTCCATGATGGTATAAGAGCTCTTCCTTTAAAGAGCTTTGTTGCGCCTTTAACCCTTTTTCTTTTTCTTTTCCTTTCTCTCTTCTTTCTTTTCTTTGTTCCTGTTTTCTTCTATTTGTCTATTCTTTTACAGGATCTTGCACGATGACAGAGGAACATAACCATTCTTCTAGTCTCTTGTATCTCCATCCAAGCGAAAGCCTTGGGATTTCCCTTGTTTCTCCTCTCCTAGAATCCAATAATTATCATGCTGGGAGAAAATCAATGTACACAACCTAGAATGCCAAGAACAAGGTTCAATTTATTGATGGTACCTTTACTCCGTCGCAAAAGGAAGTCGATTCTTATCATGCATGGAGAAGATGCAATGACATGGTCGTTTCCTGACTCGTGCATTCTATATCTCCGATATACGCCGCAACATTTATGGATGGACAACACCCAGGCCATATGGGACGACCTAAAATCAAGATTCTTCCAAGGAGATTTCCTATGTATCTCTAAGTTACAAAATGAAGCCACTGCTCTAAAACAACGGGAAAGAACCGTGACAGAGTATTTTACCAAGCTTTGTATAATATGGGATGAGGTCGACAACTTTCATCTTGAGCCAACCTGCTCCTGTGAAATCAGGTGT